TTTTGCTCCGTGACGCAGGAAAGTCGGGGTGTTCGTGTGCTAAAAGCAAGAGTTTGCTTTTCCACCGCTGAGCAGCAGCGACCCACGCGGGGCTCGGAGGGGGCTGCCGCCCTCACCCCCGTGCCACAGCCCTCCGTGTCGCAGCCTCAATGTTACTGGCAGGTGAAGGAGCTTTTGTATCTGATTTCCTTGTTTCTGGTTCACGAAAAGGAAGCCGACGAGAACAGAAGACGCTGAGCTATGGCGGAGAGCGGGTGACAGAGGAGGCGGGCGCATTGGGCGTGGGTCGGAGGAGCACGGGCGAGCTCGGAAGGGACGGAGGCTCAGGGCTCGCTCAACCCTGAGGGTTCACACGGGCGTGGGTGGAGAAAAAGAAATCCTTAGCCTGCTCCTGGGCTTTTTAACTTTCCCAATAAAATACTCACTGCTAAGGGTCTTTATGTGGGATAACTCTTGGGCAAATTCCTTAGGAATTTCAGTTTCTCTTTGAATACTTTCATTTTGTTTTGAGCAATAATGTCGCCGTGACCAGAGCGGTCTGAGGATAGAAGGGAAATGAGGTTTGCAGTAGCTCCCTCTTGAGAAAAAGATGAGTAAATGTGATTTTCTTTTCTCTTGGGTCACAGTTAGGAAGGGGAGCATTCGTATCCGAGGTGATGCTCTGGCTTTGCAGGTAGGTTATAGAAACTTGTTCTAAAAACACACATAATTTAAAATCTTAAAAATCAATTAAAAATGTAAAAATATACCTATTTATCTTTAAATAGCAATGACCCTGCGGAATTTATTTGGATCTATTAAGCAGCATTTCAAACAAAATACATTTTTAGAAAACCTGATCTATCACATAGTCTGTCTAAAGAAATAGAATGGCTTTCTGAGCTGGACACGAGGTTTGTTTTCAGTGAGTTTCTTGACATTTCTGTTTTAAAAATTATTAATAAGAAAATGAGTCAACAAGGAAATTCACATACAAAATCCACACTTGAGTAACATTAAAGTCGCTTCCCAAATGTTGGGAAATTCGATTTATGGCTAGTGCTCTGTTCTTATGTCTCGGGGTCGCGTTATGAAAGGCCACCTGCACAGAGATCACAACACCTCCAGCCACGGCTCCTCTTTGGAGACGTGCACTCCTTAGTCAACTTGAACCCACGCTCGGACTTGAAGCACCCAAAAATGACTGCGGCTTCAGGTCCCGGTCTCAGGGATTGCTCCATCCCACAGGTGGGGCCATTTGCAGCATTTCTCTCCAGCCCTAGACCCAGATTCTGAAAAAAAAAAGTCCAGAAGGTTCTTGGAGACCAGATCCCAGGCTCTCGTCCAAGGCCACGTTCAGCACAGATGCACCTCAAAACCAGGCTCTGTGCACACAAACGTGCGTGGGCATGGGCACCCCTGGAGCAGTTCAGGATGGCCTGCTGGAAATTTGGCTTTCACATCTGCTTCAGCTCTCCTTGGTCTCCTCTGTCCACACTTGGCATTGTCTAAAACCTGTTTCTGTCCTCCAAAAATTACAGAACCAGACTTGCAAGGAATAGGGGAGCAAAGATCAGCCCGAGAGAGGCTCAGCAGAGGGACAAAGTCTGCCTGTCCATCCTTTTAAAGGTTTTTATCATTGGGACTGCCTTATTAGCACAACAAAACTGATTTATTTGCTTTTAAACTAGTGGTTAATCCTTCTTGTGGGAGGTTACCACCAGGAGTATGTGACACAGGCATGGGGGAACCGAGGGACTGAAAGCGAAGGCTTTGCAGGAAGTACTGGACTAAGATTTAGGAAAGGAATGAAATTATTTGTGTCAATAAGCAAGGATCAGGCTCTGTTCTCATTTATGCAGGCATAAATAATTTCATGGAAATAAGGAGCGTTATTTGGAGTTAACTCAGGTGTAAGTTAACCCAAAAATCCAGGTCAAGCATTTTTGCCTGGATGAATGAGAAGTGACACTTCACGGCATGGTTGTGAATGTGCGTCAGAATTTCTTATAAATGATGTCAGGGATAAAGGTGGAATATTTCTTACACCTTCCAAAAAACCTAATGTGAAATTTGTAACAGAAAGATACAATCTGTGCTGCATGTATATAAAACCTGTTTTCTGTTATCAGTGACTGTGGGACAAATCCAACACCTTTTCAATCTCTGAGTCAGAAGATCATTATAAACTCTGGCACAGTAATTTATTTGAAGAGGGAAAACACAATTCTTCCTCTGCAGTCCCTAGAGGAGGCAGAAGACTGCCAGATTTCAGTCTGTGGATACCCCAGAGGACGCAGTGGAACGGCGTCTCCTTGAGACACACGGGCAGTAGCTGCTTTCAAGGGCGTAACATCATCGGGCAGGAGAAGGGGATTTTGCAGTAAGACCTAGGAAACGGACCTTCGGAATAGAGGCAATAGGGCTGCAAAATTAGGACACGATGAAAATCACATCCCGCAAAAACTGTGCCTTGCAGTCCTGTTGACTTTGCCTCCTATATCAAACACTGGTCGTGTACCTATACTGCAATAGGACCATATGACATCATCCTCATCCTCATCCGGAGTTCCTGCCTTCATATCATACCCTTTCGTGCCAAATTTCCAGCAGGCCGCAAAAAGTAATTGCAAACAAACAATAAATCTGTTTTATCTTTGACTTGGACAAAACTTGCAGTGAGCAGCTGGCAGCAGCAATGCTGACTTTTGCCTCACCCAGTGCAATTTCCATTCTTGTGGTCCCTAGAAAACACATGCCACCAAGTCTGATTTGGGACCTGCTGGCACTTCTTGCTCCACCAGAAGGCATCTCGTTTTGCAGCACACCACTGGCAAGTCTGCACAATTAGCAGCCATTTTTTGCACTCAAAGGTTTCTCTGTGTGGAAGTCAAGGGTATCACTGGGTTCACTTTGCACAAAGAAATTGGGAGCCAAAAAGAGTTTGGGACCCCAAGCAGAGAGAGAAAAATTGCAGGAGGTAACAAAAAAAAAGATCGAATGGGAAAGAAAGGAACTAGCATGGCTGGAAGCCCAGGTTGCCTCTAAGAAAAATGTTTTCCCCTCCTGGTGAAAAATGGCAGAAAAAATTGTGCAGAGCCTTTCCCCGCTCCTCAATCCCATGTGAAGACCTGGGATGGGTTTTATTTCCTGTCTGCAAGCTGTCAGACTGCACCCACATCTTCCCTAAGGCCAAAATAGTCCTGGGTCTCCCTGGGTTGCTGCCTCTGGTCAAGCAAACAGGAGGAGAGAAAAAGGCAGTGATTCTCCCTTCACCCCAAGCAAGTCAATGTTCAACCTCTCAAAGGCCACACAGAAATGAAGTTGTCACCTAAACATCCTTAACAGGCTCTTGACACAACATAGAGAAAATGTGAAGAGACGGGGTTTGAAACCACAGACACAGCCCCAGCAGGAAACACACGGGGGATTTGGGCTGTGATGCATGGGAGGGTTCAGAGGCACCATGCTGGCCATGGTGTCCCAGCCCTGGAGATGGATCCCAAACACACTTTTCCTGATCCACCCCCTTGCAAAAAAACCCCAACCAATCTATCCATGTAAACGATCACTTTGTGACTTTGTTTTGGTCCCAAAAGACACCTGGAGCATCACTTCTCCCTTGCCTTCCCCCAGCTGAATGCGCTGCTGAGGTTCCCGATAACAACACAATGATCTTTCCAAGAGAACATACTTTAACAACAACGGAACGGGGCAGACTTGGATTGGCACAACTTGCGGACAAGCCCAGGTAAGAGGCTTCTGAAAGACCACAAAGAAATGAAGAAGAACCTCTTAACTCAGCTTGAGGGATCCAAACAAAACCGAAGGATGTCCCGAGAACATGGGTGTGAGATTCTTGGCAGGGCAGAAGAAGAAAGGGAAGAGTTTCACAGGGCATCGTGTGTGCAAAAGTGTTCAGGCACAATGCAAACTGTAAGAAAAGTGCCCGCTCTGACCAACAGGACTTCAAAAGGATGGAGCTCAGCACTTAACTCGCAGCAATGCAGGGACCACGGCATCTTGCATATCCACCCCTTCCCTTTGGCCTGGTGGCTGTGACTCCACAGCAGCACTGTTGGCCACAAGAACGGCTTCACCCCATGGCAGCCCTCCAGAGGGGTTGCCTTTGTTTGCCTTTGCTTCCAAAGCACCTCCAGGTCTGTGGTCAATGGGAGGAGAGATAATTAAATATAATACATGGTTTAAAACATAAAATTCCAGCCTCGTAGTCTCTTGTCCTCCTTCCCTGTCTCATTTCTTTGCCCTCAGGGTTCTCTCTCTTCTCGCACTCAAGCTCATATTTCTGAGTTTTTCAGTTTCCTAAGATGGGATCATTTCCAAACCATTCTGGTTCAGAGCAGTATCCTAACCTACCCCACTTTGAGGCCATGTCTTCTGGTTATGCAAATATTCCAGCCACCACCCCTCTCCTCCAGGGGCCTATGCAACGTTTCCATGTATTATATTGAAATTATGCCACCTTCCTGATGGTTAATGAGGAACCACAGAGTAACAACCCCCCAGAATTGCACATGACCTGAAATCTAAGCCAGAACCAGACACGCGTTCACTCCGCAACTCCAAAACACCTAAAGGTGTAATCACCAGTGCCATGGACTCCCACCTCACACGTGTCAGCCACCAGTTTCTGTGACCTCCAAAAGCCCTGGCTGGGTGATTTATTCCTGCCCTGCACTTCTGAAGATTCCCAAGAAATGCAAATTGCCTACCCTGCACCATGAAATAATTTCACCTAATGATCTTAGAAAGAGAGTATGAAAGAAATCTGGACTTCACGGCTCCAGTCCGCTCACCACCGTGACCTCTTCCAAAAACGCAGGCTCGGACCTGCTCGTTCCCCACCCCCAGAGTAAGCTGCAAGAAAATATCCGCCAGCTAAGGATGTCCTAGAAGGAGGAAAACCTTAGCTGTCAATCTCCTTGAGAAGTTCGACGCATGGGCAGCTGGAGCGGGCAGCTGCCAGCGCTCGGACGTGGCTCGGCGGCTGCGAGAAGGCTTCACTGCCTGGGGGCTGACCAGCCCATGTCACTGAAGGGTCCCTCGCCCGTGGCCGACCTGGGAGGAGGACCGCAGGGCGTGCAGAGGTCAGAATCGGTGTCTGATTCCCCTTCTGCAATGTAGGGTCTGATTTTGGCCACGGCTGCATAGCAACCGTTGTTAAGGATGTCCAAATTCTCTTTGGACTGGGAGATGCTAAAGCCGCTGAAAGAGCGCTCCAGTTCCTCGTGGTCTACCGAGGGGATGGAGATGGACGTGTCGCTGTCTCTCATGGCACTCTCGTGGTGTTTGGTTGTAATGTCTTCATTCCTCAGGTACTCTGCGCTCGCCCTGTGCCCACCGCTGTATGCTGACAAGGAGCGCTCATGGGAGGGCGGAGGTGGGATGCGGACCAGCGAGCCGGGGTCTCCGACGGGCGAGGAGCCGTGACTTTGCCGCTGGTAGACCTGCTGCTGGCATGATGTTGAGGGCGGGCATGTGTTGGTCGGGGCTGGCGGGGCAGAGAAGTTCTTCTGACCCATGGAGCTGGTGGACCTGATGATCTTGATGATGCAGCCATTCTTGTCAATGTGCTCCCTGCTGTCTTCGGGGCTGTGGTAAGGAGGTGCTGGGTCTGGTTCTTTGGACCCAAAATAAGCCTCCGTCTCCGTTGGTGGGATGCCCATCCGCTGCATGTAAATGTTCACCAGGAAGTCCAGCTTCTTCTCCATTGACTGAACCTGCAGAACACCACAGTTACAGGGCTACACACTGCCTGCAGGTTGGAGCAAATTAACACCCTGAGTACAAGCAACTTCTAGGCATGAGTGTGGGCCTGGGCTTCATAGATGGCCTCTGTCTACACTGACCTGCACCAAACTGAAACTTTTAGCAAATGTTTAATTTTCCTATTCTGAAAAAAACAACCCCTTCGTTTTCCACCTTTTTATGGGGTTTTCCTTAAGCTCCTATAATCTTTTGGAAATGCACTGAATTCCAGGAAAGCTGGAGCACACTCACATCCTTCCAGTGGCTTTCAGCTCCTTACCACATTTGGCACTTGCCTGGGCTCAGATGGCTGTGGGGATTTCTGAGCCTTATCCTCTAAGAAGATTTTCATCTTCAGCGAGGCCAGCAGCTACAGCCGCCAGGCTCACGGACTCATTTGAAACATGTCCGGTACGGTGGCAAAGAAACCAATGTACCATTTTAAAAAATAATGTAGACTTTGGTAGACTCACCAAAACAGAAAGTCCGTATGCCACAGACTCCAAAGTGCCTGTTTTGAAAGGAGTACTTAGGCTTCTAAGACATCTAGTGCCCCTTCATAACATCTACCTTGTTTCTTTTTCAAAATATTCTTAGCTCTTCCTTTTTTTTTTTTTTCTAAATGGCAATGGCCCACTGGGGAAAAATAAGGCAAGAAGAAACCAACACAATGCATGCAATGCCGTAGGATAAGAGCTCCCTCCTGACCCAATATACCTGTTTTTCAACTTTTCCAAGCCTGCCCATCATGCTGGGGTCTTCAGGCAGCTCCCCCTCTGCTGGCCCTTTGGTGCGATCCTTGTCGGTCATGGAGGATCCTCTCCCAACGATCTGGTCAACTCTACCGGGATCAGAAAATCCCCCCCCGCCCCCGGAAAAGAACCTGGAGTCAGTTGGAGGCAGCAGGCGAGGGGGACTCCACTTGTCACGCCTCCGTGGGACAAAGCAACAGCCTCTCTCCCAACTAACACTCCAAATTACTCACAGACACGCAGTGGCACTGAAGTGTTAATTCAGATGCAAAGTTCAGAGCAGTATTAGCAGAGTTTGAAATTATCCATTTCTGTTTATACAGATAAAACCTGGCACATTATGCACAGTAAATTTACCCACTGCAAAGAATGTCTTTAACTGGCTTTCTTCCAAATCAATTAACGTGGTATTTGTACTGAGAAATTTCTTATTTTGGGGGAAGATCAAGTTTTCTGTCTAGCATATGGCAATGGGATTTTTTTTCAGTCTTTGCAGCAGTTTCCTCTCCTCGATGCAAATGTAAGCGTGTAATTCTCATGTCCACGAAAACGAGCTGCTTGCCCTAAGACCCAGACAAGCAGGCGTAGGGCTAACCATTTTGGTGGGATTACATCAGGGCTGAATTCGGTCATAACTCACCGAACGTTACCAAATTGTCTCAACGCCACTGCAGCTCACACCTGTGTCATTAGAGGTTTTCTGTCAGCAAGGGTCCAAGCCAGTAGCAGCAGCCAAATCAGCAGCTAAAGCTACTGGGGACATTGTTTGGCGCTAACTTCTTTACACACGTTACATTTGCAGCTCCTTGTTCCCATTCTAGAAACACCTGGGTTGATACACAGCTCCAAATGCAGAGGAAGGAGGAGGGCAGAGCCAGTTTGGAACCTGGAAGTCAATTTTAATTGAGCCATCCAATTACAAATTTTCTAGAGAGTTAAACACCGGAGCTTCTTGATCCCTCAAAAGTCAGGGGAGCAACTCAAGTTTTGGAATAGCTTCTTAATGGCAGCCCCGTTCAGAACCTAATTTACGCCAGGCAAACTTTACTCTTGCATAATGCACCAAACATAAGGGTGGCAGGGGAAGAGACGGGTTAATTAATCTGACTGAAACCAAGTTGAGGTATCTTGAGCGGAAAACTCAAAATGCTTCTTACGCAGTTCTGCCGTGTGGGCCATGGGTCCATGCACCAGGAGGAGGAAAAGGAAGGAGCTTGAACACAGACAGACAGGGGAAAATGAACAAACAAACAAAAACCAAAGAAAGGGATGAGATGTGAGGCTATTTCCAACACAAGAGCCATCTGTTTTCTTTACATCTGACAGGGACTTAACACCTATGTTGGCTGTTGACATTAAGGGACAGGTATCAGTGGGTATGGACCAGCATGGCTCCCTTGGCTTATATTAGAGCAACAGTGGTTTACAGCACCAGAAGATCTGGTTCAAAGAGATGACGTGGATAGGCACATCACACCGAAGACGGAAAATACAAGCCAACAATTATTTTAGAGTTTATCTTTGATCCCAGAAGATACTTCATTTGGGCAGGGAGGCGACAGAATCTGGTTTAAAATTTCTGTTGAAAAAGTCACGTTTGCTCCTTTGCTTAGCAATATAAGCACGGGAGTACAAGGAGCACCAAGTGCTATAATCACAAGTGCGAGGAACATGCACGCCTTATTTCTCTCTTGTAATGGGAGAAGCAAATTATTGACAGGTACAGGAACTCCCCACAAGGGACGCCATTACTGACATGACATACAGCACGAGAAATCCTACGACAACGTTGTTACCATCTAGGCAAAGAGGTATTAAATGGGATACACCGGGCTACCTTGGTTTGGAATCACAAGTCAAGGCGTGGGACAGCCACTGTACGAACTCCTCTCCTGTATGCACAAGCAAGCAGACTAGTAAAACACTGAGCACGCGTTTAAAGAGGCTCAAACTCTAAACGCTACGGAATATTGCAGAAGGCCAAGCACAGTCAGGGTGCTCCGTCCTCGTGTCCCATCTGGCACGGCATTGACACTGAAATGTGCCCACTAATGGAAATGAGACATCCTTCAACAGTTGCTGAGTGGAGCAGGGAGGCAGGACAGACTGTAACACAGAGAGGAAAACCGAACATGGTCATGCTATGGAGTATTGGAATAGCAGAGAGAGTCTTGTGTAACCCTATTTCTAATCTTGCAGAATTTGAGGACGGACTTCTCTCTTCCGTGTCCTTAAGAGAAGAGGTAACCATTAAATGAGCCTCACGGGACCCATGTGAAGCACAGGAGGCCAGCTGGCGCTTCACAGATGGAGTGATCACTCATATAGAAGAGCCCTGACTTCTCCCATCACCTTCAGGCTGGACATGATTTGTCTCTAGACCTGCTGTGATACAAAAGCAGGACTGAAGCTCTCACAGAGCTCACCCATAAAGCATCCAGAAGCCCCTGCCCATACACCGCTGATAGCAGAGCCCAGGAGAATTCCTGCTCAATTCATTCCCTTTGCGTCTATACTTTAACGTAGTCCTGACTCCTGAGGGGGTGACCTTCCACAGCTCTAAGAAACCTGAGCACCAGACCTTGCGTTGAGGGCAGGGTCTGCACCAAGGACAGTGCGGTGGGCAGCTGTAGGCCACCAACTTCAGTGCAGAGAGGGGAGAAGAAGGTGAACCAAGTCCTTCTCTCTTGATGGGAGAAACCAGGCTTGAGGTCTCCCACTCCTTTGCTTCCCACAGCAGAAGTTAGACCAGGGGAAAGTGCTCCTATGCTCAGCAAAGCGCAGAGATTTCATTTGTGCCTTATCTGACACAAGAGAGGAGAGGAATTTCCTTGCGAGCTCCCAACCCGCCTGCACCTAGCTGAGCACCCCGAAGAACAGAAGGTCCTTTTAGCCATTATAAGAGTTGGAGGTTTTGTCCAAATTGGGCAGCAAAGCTCAAAAGATGAAGAAGAGAGAACGTACTCCACCTTTGCAAACAGAGGGGGATGGCGTATGTTCCTACTGCGTGACAAGGGACCGCGAATCTTCTGAGATGCCAAACCCCAGTCCTGCCCTACATCCCGTGGGGAGCCTTGTGCCTTCCCGGCACTTATCCTGGCTGTGTTGAACACACACGTGTGGAGAGAAGAATTCAGCTGAGGCTTTGGAGGAACCAGCCCTGTGTTTTTCCCTTTGTGGCAGAAGAGGATTCAGAGATTTCTAACGATGTGTGACCAACTGTGCCATCTGCTGTCCTGGATAGGCTCTGCTGGGTCGCAGTTTGGGAGGGAGAGAGAAAGGGGGTTGATCTTTAAAGTGAACTTTGATATCTTTCCTGCTTTCTAATGATACAACAAAAATGTAAAGTCTTGCATCAGCCACAGTGCAGGTTTTCTCATGCTTCATTATGCTTCATGCTAACAGGGCATGCAAAGAGGTGTAATATGTCACCCTCGGGCCAGAAGCAGACATCAAAAGGTCAAACGGCTCAAATGAGATAAAAATGAAGTGTTTGGGAATATATATTCAGTTATTTTCTTTTTTTCTTTATCTCTTAATTTTTTGTACACAATCCAGGCATTGAAGCCAAACCCCCTTCATCCACGTCACAGGACTGGCTACTTACCTCCTCATTTGGCAATAAAGTTTGCTCTAGACAATACTTTGACCAATATATGTTGTCTAAAAATTACAGATGAGGTTGCACCTATTCTACGTTAAATTAGCTGATCAAAGGAATTTAATCCAAATTGTCTGCGTGTACAGCATGGAGCAAACACCTTCAGCCAAACCACAGCCGTGGACACCCGCTGGTCTCCAGCCGCCTTTGCTGGGACCTACTTGCAGAAAACTTTTGGTGATCTAGAGCACCACAGTGCAATCCATGGAGTTCAGACAGCTCATGGGACATCACTCGGTTTTGTTTCTCTTCCTTCACTGGGTGTTTTCTTATGATCTGGGCAGCATTTGGCTAAAACAGGGGGGTGCAGGCTAAAAAGGAGAGGCTGGTGCTGCCCATGGGGACCCCACGGCGTGTGGGCCCACGGCATGGACCCACTTGGTGCGGAGATGAGGAAGGCCACAGCAGCAGCAGAGCCTGACCCAGAGTTTTTAGATTTGGGCTTGGGGCTGCTCAGAGCTCTGGTTCCCATCCATCGAGCACCTCGAGCACCTCACGAGTCCCACCGGTGCCCGTGGGAGGATGCAGCTGCTGAAAATTAAGCACAGCGTAAGCCTTTCAATGGGTGGGAGCCGAGATTTCAGCAGCCTTCTCTACTCTGCTGCTTTCTGGAGCCTCTCAGCCACAGCTCAGTAAAGAAGAAATGAGAAAATTCGATTCATTAAAAAAGGGAGCAATTATAAAAAAAAAGTCTTAATGTCCCAGGAGCCCAGTGGGTATGTGCAAACACATTTTAGTCTGGCCACCAGTATCAGAAGCTGTAAAAACTGGGGGGGGAGGGGAAGTCATTAACATTATGCTGATATAGCAACAGACTTGGAGTGACTAAAATAAATATCCCAGTTTGAGGCCTTCTCCCCTAGCATCCATCGATCACCTTCTCCGCGTGCAAGGCACAAGCTTGCAGATGAAAATCTTGCCTCTAGCGAAGGCTTGTTGCACACCAAATCTTAGAGGTTAAATGCAACAAAATCCATTGGAATACGTATTTTTATTTTAAAAGCAAAATGTTGCTGCAGATAAGAAAGGCATTTCATTTTTAAAGGCTAGTTTGGGGCCTCATCTTTTGGCAGGGAGGAGAAACGGGAAAAATGCTTTCCTGAGAGCACCTTGTTTCCAAGCGTAAAGCTTGGGGCTTCTGGAAAATTCTCTTTTTTAATCTTTAAGCTAGCTGAGTGGGAAAAGGCATACTTTGGGTATTCCTTTTGCTCACACACCTCTAGTGAAGATTACTCAGAGCAGCTCAAATAAAAATCAAGATATTTGTCACATATTAGCTCTTAGGGAGGGCAAGAAAAAAAAATATTTGAAGCTAAGCTTGCTGCATTTAAAAATCACCTCCTATTTGTGCATGGAAAATGACCTCCTGGCAAATATTTACACCTGCCTTGGGCTCCAGAGGTCTCAATACAAGGTGAAAATAGAGCTCAGCTCATAGCCCTGCTGGCCAGACCTCAGAATGCCCTCAAATGAGAACTTCAGTGCGAATACGTTCCTCGTGGCATCAACGTCAGGTACGGTGATACCTAAGGAGAGAACTCAATGAGGGCAATGAGAAAAATCTCGATGAGGGCTGGGTTTGACTCCTGCTCTTCTTTTTGCTTGCACAATCAGGATTTAAATTATTTATTTTTTTTTAATATCAGTCCCATGGTTGTAACATTTTAACGCAATTTTTTTCCTCAGCCAAAAAAAGAGACCACTGCGTTCATGGGGTACAGAACACTTCATTCTTACTTTGCCCACTGAACTCATTTCGTAGTGCAAAGAGCTGCAGAGGCTCCTGCGCTTCTCTGTGGAGTGTTTCATCTCTTAGAAAGCAGATCATTTATATCGGCTTTATGGGTAAATATTCCACCTTTTACAGCTGAAGATAGCCTGATAAAATATGACGTTTTAAAAAGACAGAATTTTGCTTTCTAATGCCTAGAAGAAGACTGAAAATAGAAAATACGCTAGCTGAAGAAGCTGGTGGTTACTGATGACTGTGTGAACGTCCCTTTTTTTTTCCCCTTTGGCTTGCCTAGTGTGAAAGCTCATTACTGAAAGTAAATTGGAGCATACCCAGAGCAGCAAGCCCTTCTGAGTCATGATTTAGCAAGCTGCACTGCTGAGCGATAAATGCCGTCATATAACTGGCATGAAAGGGGTTTGACATTAAGCAAATGAAAAATCCAGAGAAAGCGGCATTTTGGTGAATCCTAACCTAGGCGAGTATTGGGGAGATTCTTTGGAAGAATACATGGGTCCTTTGGTTGGATACTTCTTATGCCGGGGAGTTGAAGGGGGCGGGGGACCCACAATCATATCTATCCTGGCAAAGTAAATAAGAAAAAAGACACCAGCAAAATGCATAATGAAGCAACACATAGAGAAAAGTCGGTCAGAAAAGTTGCAGAAAGAAACAACTGAAAAACAGGACGACAGAGAGAGAAAAAGAGAGAGAATTTGAACATATATTCCGCTGGAAACAGCAGGCTCTCTCCTACCACCTGGGCGCTGGTGAAAGCCACAGTTTTACTCACCCCGGGGTAAGATTTGGAGATTTAGGCACCACTGAAACATCGTTAGGAGAGCCCCCCCCCGCCCCAGATATAATAGGCAACATGCTTTACCCTCTGGAATCTATTTGTATCTATGTAGCAATATCCCATTGAGGTGGTTGGATATGAAAAAACATATATGCATTCTCCTTTCAGTTCCAGTGCTAGATAACACATCCTCAGCTAGTTCAGAAAAGCATGAGCTGTTGGAGTCGGCGGGATACGCTGCAGGATTGTGTAACTCAATGAATGGGAGACATCCATGGTTGGCAAGGTGTCAGGATGAGACACGAGACAGTGTGAACACAACACTGAAAAGAGCACATTACAGACAGAGTGACAGAGGCATTAATGATTAAAGAGGAAAGTGCATGTAAACAACCCAGAAATTTGCTTGAATGCAGCTTTAATCCACCAAAGCCCTGGCTATGGGAGGTCACAGCCAGCCCTGCCAAGCCGAGCTGGCACGGAGAACACAGTGCTTTGATTGCTGAAGGGAAGGGAAATAAAAATATCTCTTCTCCTCTGAGCTGTACTTCTAGCGTTGGCCATGCCCCAACGTTGGCCACGGCCATCCCAGGCACACAGCTCGTCTACAAGGTGCCCCTTCTAGTTGTACTGGGCAGGTGACCAGCCATGGGACCTCTTGGTGCCCATCTGACTATGATGATGAGTGCTTTGAAGGATGACCCCACAAGGTCTGCTCCCATCACCATCACTGATCTCCTGCTTGCTGGGGACAGGGAAACCAATGAAGCTGCCTGGTAGCCCTGGATCCCAAATCCGGGTATTTCACACTTTTAAAGCAGTTCCCGGTCCTCCTGACTTCCCTGCAATGGGATGGATGGAAGCCCTAGCCTAGTCCAGCCTCAGCAACCTCAGCCTCACAGTCCCACAGGTACCGCTGAGAGAAGAACTCAGTTTCGTCTTTGAAAGCCAAAATTCCTTACCCCAACCACCTCAAGCCCCAGCCAACCAAACCACACTGTCTTTGCAGCACATCACCTGGAAGGATTGGCCATGAGACTAGCATGGACGGTGAGGCAATCTGCCACGCCAGCTCGGGGTGCTGAAAACTCAGGTATCTCACCTGGAGCCAGTGGAGATGACAACCCCAATGGTTCACTACCCACTGTGGAGGCAGCCTGGGAGGTTATTCATGTTATTAAAGTTAGGAAATATAAATCCCCTCCTCCTCCTCCTCTTCCATCTCCAGATTCAGCTACGCATCTTGGATCTGTAATCACTGAATTTGAACTGAACGGGGATGAGAGGCTCAAAGAGAGGAAATTCTCCAGGATATTTTAGTCTCCATCACAAGGGAGAATTTACCTTCTGGCTGCATATCTGGAAATGGGAAACACAGAGCATGCAGCAGCGCTGAGAAAGTTACCTCCGCTGCTTAAATATCAAAAATAGCAGAGTTAAAACAGTCTCAGAGAGATAAGCAGGAGAAGAGAGATTCCTCTTTTACCGCAGACGATTTTCCTATTCCACTCCTGAGGTTCACGTTAGCTGTTTGCATACCCAAAGACATTATTTTGCACATTTGCTGACTCTGTCAGAGACCTAGACGGGCTTGGAATTAAAGGAAAACTTCCCCAATGGCTTGCAGAGGAAGCTGGGCTGCCGCAGCTGTGGAGGGAAATGCTTTCATTCTCCAAGTGTAAAAGCAGACAGGATATTATTTTGACTGGAGATTGCCTACAGCCAAGCCCTGGCTCTGTTCTGGGCATCCTCTGAGATCAGCAGAACTGGGGCTACTTCTGAGCTGATGCAGCCGGGGGAGCATTGGGGTTTGGGGTCTGGCTTTCAATGTGGGACATCGGGGCTAAGAGAGCAGTGGTCAGGCAAAAAGATTTAGCTCACATCCTCTCTTTGGGGGACCAAATTCATATGCATTTTTTTGCAGGAGAAATAACTGGGTTTTCGTAGCGGAAAATGAAATTTTAAATGCCTTTCTCAGTTCCACTTGTCCCTTTTTCATATGTCTTCCCCTATTAAAACTAACTAAAACCCCTAAAATTTGAGCACAGAGGTTGAAATGCAGCTCGGCTAACCCACATCTACATCGGTAGGCTTGGATGAGAAATCCCTATTGGCATGTATTTGTGGCAGACTGGGCCATCCGAGGAGGGATTCCTCCTAAAACAGCTCCGTGGCCCCAACAACTGGCGAAGCCGCTGCTCCCTCGCTGCCCCCCCTGCCTGTAGCAGCAGGGTCACAACCAACACACCAGATTTTATTTTGCATCGCTCCCAGAAAGGTACCAAATCACCCACATCAGCCTTAAGGCTGGGGCACCAAACCTTGGCTATCCTGCCGGGAGGACCGCAGACGTAGGCGCCTGCCTTACCTTTGGGATATACTAGAACAACAGAAACTCCCAAAGCAGGAGGACGAGCCCTGATTTTTGTGTGTGTCCCCTGGTGTGGGCACTAAGGGAGTTTTAGCGGCGTAACACCACCATTTGCAGCCCCTGTCCTGCCCATCCCTCTGGGTTCCAGCCACAAGCACTGATGCTCTCCTTGAGGTTCTCCTTTAGGAAGAAAAAGACTAAGTTGTAGCTGCAAAGGAAAGTGTCTCTCTCCTGGCACCACCTCCACAATGAACAAAAAACAGTGGAAAAAATGAAGCAAAGAGAGGGGTCTCTTGCCTGGCCTGAAGGTTTTTAATCCGGGAGAGCATGTCCAGGTGACCCGCTGAATACTGCTCGATGACGTCCATCACGTCGTAGGGCCGAAGGCTCTCCTTAAACTTGCGCTTGGAGACGAGAAATCTCATAATGCTGCAGGAGATGGAGAGGAAAGGCAAAATATAGCCCCTGGGCTGCAGCCTGACCTGCTTAGTGGCAGATAAAAAACACCGCAGGGAGCTGCTTTGCAAGGAAAATGGAATAAATCCCAACGCTGGGTATGGGAGCGGACACAGCAATAGGAGAGGGGAAGGGGACTGCAGGAGCTCCTGGCTGAAGCCCTGTCTGCATTGGGGGGGCCCGATGCCCCTTGGGCCATCAGCTGCGCGAGTGCCCTCTCTGCACCACTTTTATAAATGTCAGCGCTAAACCTCAAAGCTGGTGAGAACAACATTTGGATGCATCCCTGCAGGGGATTTTCCTGTTTCTCCGTTTATTCCTTCCCTCAGCAAAAATTGTCCTTTCTGGCAGAATTTTCTGTAAAGGAGGGCAGGCCGCCCAGGGGAAAAACAGTCTGCAGCATAGGCGTTTCAGCATTTGCCACCTCTGCTTGGACTTCAAATTTCTTTTTTTCCCCTATTTTTTATTTTTCCGGACCACTTCCCCCCTCTCCCTCTCTTACCACACTGCCCTGATGCTGACTTTCAGTCCTGGCGTCAAATCTTCCGTCACAAACTCGCAGTTGCAGCTTTTGTTCTCATCAGGAATGTCTTCTCCGGGGAGGCTTGCTTCTGGGTGTGGGAGAGGGAGGGATCAAGACAACGCGTTACCATTTCCCATGCTGGTGTCACGCGAGAAAAGGCAACTCGGATCACAAACAGCAATCCCAGGGGAAGCACCAGAGATAGCTCTGCTGAGCATCCCGATGGGAGCATTTCCCAAGACATCCAGCAGTGCCAGCTGCGGCTCTCAGCCATCTCTAGAAGCCTGGCTCTTCCTCCTTTCCCCATCCTTATGTACCTACACTTATACACTTTCATGGGTGTCAGCAGGGTTTTTCTTATCTCTTACACTCCAAGTTAAAGGAGATAAGGGATGTTCTCCTCCCCCTCTGCCCTGGTGAGACCCCACCTGGAGCACTGCGTCCAGTTCTCAGCTCCCCAGTTCAAGAAGGATGAGGAACTCCTGGAGAGAGTCCAGAGGAGGCTACAAAGCTGATGAGGGGACTGGAGCATCTCTCCTACAAGGAAAGGCTGGGGGAGCTGGGCTTGGTTAGCCTGGAGAAGAGAAGGCTGAGAGGGGACCTCATCAACATGTACAAATATCTTAAGGGTGGGGGTCACGAGGATGGAGCCAGACTCTTCTCAGTGGTGTCCAGCACCAGGACAAGGGTCAATGGGCACAAACTGAAGCAGAAGAGGTTCCAGTTGAATCTGAGGAAGAACTTCTTTACTTTGAGGGTGACTGAGCCCTGGACCAGGCTGCCCAGGGGGGCTGTGGAGTCTCCTTTGGAGATATTCAACCCCTGCCTGGACGATGTCCTGTGCCCCCTGTTCTGGGTGAGCTTTCCTGTTTCTCCGTTTATTCCTTCCCTCAGCAAAAATTGTCCTTTCTGGCAGAATTTTCTGTAAAGGAGGGCAGGCCGCCCAGGGGAAAAACAGTCTGCAGCATAGGCGTTTCAGCATTTGCCACCTCTGCTTGGACTTCAAATTTCTTTTTTTCCCCTATTTTTTATTTTTCCGGACCACTTCCCCCCTCTCCCTCTCTTACCACACTGCCCTGATGCTGACTTTCAGTCCTGGCGTCAAATCTTCCGTCACAAACTCGCAGTTGCAGCTTTTGTTCTCATCAGGAATGTCTTCTCCGGGGAGGCTTGCTTCTGGGTGTGGGAGAGGGAGGGATCAAGACAACGCGTTACCATTTCCCATGCTGGTGTCACGCGAGAAAAGGCAACTCGGATCACAAACAGCAATCCCAGGGGAAGCACCAGAGATAGCTCTGCTGAGCATCCCGATGGGAGCATTTCCCAAGACATCCAGCAGTGCCAGCTGCGGCTCTCAGCTATCTCTAGAAGCCTGGCTCTTCCTCCTTTCCCCATCCCTATGTACCTACATTTATACACTTTCATGGGTGTCCGCAGGGCTTTGCTTATCTCTTACACTCCAAGTTAAAGGAGATAAGGGATGTTCTCCTCCCCCTCTGCCCTGGTGAGACCCCACCTGGAGCACTGCGTCCAGTTCTGAGCTCCCCAGTTCAAGAAGGATGAGGAACTCCTGGAGAGAGTCCAGAGGAGGCTACAAAGCTGATGAGGGGACTGGAGCATCTCTCCTACAAGGAAAGGCTGGGGGAGCTGGGCTTGGTTAGCCTGGAGAAGAGAAGGCTGAGAGGGGACCTCATCAACATGTACAAATATCTTAAGGGTGGGGGTCACGAGGATGGAGCCAGACTCTTCTCAGTGGTGTCCAGCACCAGGACAAGGGTCAATGGGCACAAACTGAAGCAGAAGAGGTTCCAGTTGAATTTGAGGAAGAACTTCTTTACTTTGAGGGTGACTGAGCCCTGGACCAGGCTGCCCAGGGGGGCTGTGGAGTCTCCTTTGGAGATATTCAACCCCTGCCTGGACGATGTCCTGTGCCCCCTGTTCTGGGTGAGCCTGCTTGAACAGGGGGGTGGGACTGGGTGATCTCTGGAGGTCCCTTCCAACCCTTGCCATCCTGGGATTCTGTGTCTGTGTGAGTGGAAGGGGAAGGAAACCTATGTAAGCAGCCTGGCTGGCAGCTCTTCCCTTCTTTAGGTGGTGGGGACAGGATGTCGGGGATTTGGGGTCTGGCATGTTGCCCCAAGCCCTCACCTTCTGAGTTTTGCCGTGACGCCGCTCCCTTGATGCGGAAGGCTTGCCGGGCTCGGCTGCGGTCTCCGAAGCTCCAGCTCTTGGGCACTTTGCTTGGGCTGTCCTCAATGCTCTGGTCAGCGCTGGGGGACCTCCGGATGCCCTGAGCCTGTGGAGAGCCTTTCCCTTTGGTGCCAGCACCGCGGGGACTGGAGAAGACACGATCTTTCAAACTGACCTTCTGACTGTTCAGAGAAACACGTTGAAACAAAGACAAAAAGGAGACAGCAGGAGGAGTCATTCTGG